ACTCAATACAACATCACTTCCCATGGCCAAATTTAAAGGGACTCTTTCAGCACAGCCTCATAATGCCATAGCCATGTATTCTCCTGTATTATTTAAAGGAGCTATCAAAGATGAAGTCACTACAAATACCTGCTTGGTCTGACAACAGTGTTCTAACAAATACATTGCAGTGATATCTGGCTATATCCCCTACCTTGATTCGGCTGAAAGAGACCCTTTTTGACTGGTCTCTTATAATACCTTGGGGTGGGGCACCCAGCTTGATTTCCCGTAAGTAGAAACAACTAATGGTGAGAGTAGTGAAAATATGACATCGTGATGCAATCTCATGAAAATCAGACCTTTCACTCAGCAATATTCCTCTCCTCATGAAGATCTACTTTTGTTTGCTTATTTGTTGTTTGTTTTTACCACACTCAGAAATATTTCGGTTATATGGTCTGTAAATAATGGAGTCTGGGCCAGGCAATCCAGTGATTAACATCATGAGCATCGATCCACGCAATTGGGATCGATGACATGTTTCAAGCAAGTCAGCGAGTCTGACCACCTATCCTGTTAGTCGCCTCTTACGACAACCATAGTCGCCTCTTAGGCAAGCATGGGTTGCTGAAGACCTATTCTACCCTGGATCTTCATGGGTCGCCTCTTATGACAAGCATAGTAATGGCCTGTTCCAAATGTAAATAAAGTCCACACCATTACCTTGTTGTGGTTTTGAACACATTTAAGGTCACGGAATCTACACTCAAAACGCAGTACCATTGAGGGCATATTTGCATTGTGTGTGTTTTCTTTTGTTAAAATGGAATTTACAAATTCAAGTGAGTGAGTGAGTGAGCTAGATGGGTTAAGGCCTCGTTGAGCAGTACTCAAGTTATGTCATGGCGCGTCAGCTCAATGTGGAAGGAAAGCCCGAAGTGATGCAGGTCTTCGAAATTCACAACTGGCATACCTACAAATATTAGCAGGGAAAACCAGGATTTAAAACCCATGCTCTGGGGATGCAACTTTGCACAGAAAATTGCTGTGTCTTGGTTGGTTGGTTGGTTGGTTGGTTGTTTTACGCCGCACTCAGCAATATTCCAGCTATGTGACGGCTGTCTGTAAATAATCAAGTCTGGACCAGACAATCCAGTGATTGACATCATGAGCATCGATCCACGCAATTGTTCACCCGATCCCGTTAGTCGCCTTTTATGACAAGCATAGTCGCCTTTTATGGCAAGCATAGTCGCCTATTATGACAAGCATAGTCGCCTGGAGGAGTGATCAGATGTTCAGACAGAGAGGAATTTTATCAGAGTCAAAGATGAGATTATTGTGGATGTCCACATCTATGGTGACTTAAATGCAAGAGCCCCACCACTGTTGATAAAGGACCAGTCTGATAATGTATGGAAAGCTAGTTTGCACCAGCTAAAGACGATGTAGCCACCCTGAGGTCTACATTGTATTCCCTGATATAACTGCTTAATCAAAGGATTATATACAAATTGGATAAGGAGGTGTCACCACTCACACTTCTGGATGGACTCTCCCAAGCTAGCTGCCAGCCAATCAGATCATCTCAAACATGACCGTTTCATTCTTGCCAGGGCATAGAAATGAAGTACCTGCTTTTACATTTCTTATGATTGACAAAATGTGAAAAAGATTCATTTTCATGACATGACTTGACTTGTGCCTATAAGGCCAGAACAGTCTATTGGGGACTAAAGCTGAGCCTACAAAACATTTTAAAAGATATACAAAAGTTTTAAAAATGTATATCAAATTATGATGTGTTTGAAAACATGATTTAAATAAAGATTTTTAGGTATTTTGGCAATATATTTCAGTGATGGCCACCAGAAATATGATATTTTATGAAAAGAAATTTACACCAAATAACATCGTCATTTTATCCGATTCTCTGTATACTGCCACGATAATTAGCAACAATTTTGTTGATGTTGCATAAAGCAAAATCTGTTTTAAAAAAGAGATGAAACTGATCTGGCCTTACATTGTCATTGTGATGAAAAAGGGAAATTTCAAACCAACAAGTTCTGCGAGTCGTCTGATGACAAAATGACATGTCACCATTGCATGCTGCCATAAAAATGATTCTACGACTTCTCTTCGTCACAAATTCATAACACGTTAACGACCCATGAGACGTCTCCATGGCGACAACAGTGATGCTTATTCCAACCACTTGGCAAACCTTACATTGGATAACAGATTTCAGGTAGACTGTCTGTACAGGTGAGCTATGTACAGCGAGTTGAACAGCTCTTGTATAGACGAGTACAATGTACAATACAAACTTCAATATATCTGTTTAACTGCCATATTTAGAAACAATAAAAGTGTCTTATAACATAATCAAGCTTGGGTTAGTTTCCATATTCAACAAATGCACGATCGGATGGATTACCACCCTATTTAAGACACCACAAGGTTGATTATTTTATAAGAGTTACCTCCCCTGGTTCGTAAATACACTGTCTGAATACCTAATTTTACGTTTTAGCTCATTTTCAGAGAATTATACACAAAACCAGTAAATATGAGTGAGGTAAACATCTTGAGGAAAAAATTACAAAAAGTAAAAATTGATAAACAAAGGGAGGTAACTTTCTGAGACACTTGGTGTAACTTGTATGAAACAAGGAGGTCAAAAAGCTTTGACGTTTTACAGTAAACTGTACATATTAAAACTGATAATAAAATACTCTTTTTGTGAAGATCAACTTCGTAGGTCAAAGAAACTGTAAATGCCTATGAAACAGGGTGAGAAATACAAACATATTATACATGACAATAAAATGGCACGGAAAATGTTACTGTCAGTTCCAGCTATTTTACATCAACACAACAACTTCAACTGTGAATTAATCATGTCTCATCATATAAATTCAAAATTCCATCTCAAACTCACTGTAATCAACACTATTTGAGATCACGGGCTTGTTAAGTTTATCATAATTTGGGAAATATTCAAATGTAAATGCATAATGGTCATATCAAGATTTTTTTTATTCCTCAGGATCAAGATTTGGTTTATCATTCCCCTAACGTAAATATGCACTGCATTGTGGGATATCAACCAAACAAATCAACCAATCAAATTGTCGGAAACGTCCTCCTCTATACTGAAATTTAGGGATAGTGATTTTCGGAAATAGTCATTAACAGAACATTATTATATTCTTATACATATTTATTCCATTGATCCGAAAATTGGTTATGTATATTCTAATGAAGGAAAAAAACACGACAAAACACAGCAATGTATGTTTTTTCGACTGTAAGGCATTATGGGTTTTTGTGCTCGTTCCTGACAGTTCCGGTAATATAACACTGAGGATTTTGCTGCCTTCAAAATGCCTGCCTTCAAGATTGTGTACTCCAAAACTGCAACAGAACTGTATGAACGACAACACACACTTAAAACTTGACAAGAATTGACCCGTCCAGTGTATTTTGCTGGTAGGCCTTATATATTTCTTTAGTTGGTTTATGAGTCATTGTGACATAAAACAACTGAAATTAGAAAAAAAAAGAAAAAGACTTTTGACGCAAAATATTTGTCAGAGTGATTTACAATAACGTGGGATGAAAAAACTATGTGATTTTCTCACCACTGTAAGAATAATAATCTTAAATCGAACACACACAAAAACAACCAAACATTTATCTTTCGTTAACTTGCCATGTTAAAACTTGTTTGTTTTTCATTCATTAGTAGCATTACTATAAAAAATTATTATTTCCTTTATCCCAACCACCTACATGGAATTTTAGGCCAAATGTTTGGAAAACCAACTAACAAAATATAAAAGGCCTATCTATATTTCTCAGCAAGAGCTGGGCAAATAATCAATCAGATACCACAAGCATTAGATACTCTAAAAACATACAGTATAGCCTATGTTTTAAATGTACTACTGTGTTCGACACATTAAGTTCCATATGCCACCTATCAAGAGAACATGCATTTCCTTTGACGTGAGTGAATGTGGTTTTACACCGCTTTTAGCAATATTTCAGCAATATCATGGCGAGGGGGGTCACCAGAAATTGGCTTCACATACTGCATCCATGTGGTGAATCGAACCCGGGTCACCGGCGTGACGATGAAGCGCCTTTACCGCTAGGCTACCTGGGAACCCATGTTGTAATGGAGTGTCAACAGGCTCAACAAGCCTCCTTAACTAGTCATTACAAAGAGTGAGTGAGTGAGTTGGGTTTAACGCCGCTTTTAACAGTATTCCAGTTATATCACGGCGTGTCAGCTTAATGTGGGAGGAAAGCCTGAAGTGATGCAGGTCTCAGATGTTTACCACTTCGGTGAAACTACGAGTATGGTGCTGACAAACCTAGAAACATAATCTGGGGGGAACCGGGATTCGAACCCACAATCATAGGTTTCTGGTGTGCTCAAGGAACGTAACTCTGCACAGCTAAACACAGTGCCTTAGATGACTGGGCCACCTGTGCCCCCCATTACAAAGAGAGGTGGGACTTATTTAATAACATCCTAATCACAGAACATTTTATGGCTCTGGGGTGAAAAGAGAAAATATGTGTGTCTGGGCTCCTGACCAATGCTAATCTGAAGCCCAAACTTGGCTCTTAGCATAATTTCATGTATATTTTAGTAGACTTTTTTTAACTGAGCTTACTAGACCAAACTCAGTTTTACTAGACTCAGGCTTCGGACTAGCGGCTAAAGTCACACACACACTGCATAAATGTTTTGCACGTTTCTCTTAAGATGCACACTAGTATTTCCATGTTTTCAATTTGTCATCTTTAATATGGGGGCACTTGAATGTCACTGAAAAAAAGCTTTTAATTCATGTAAATTTTTTCAAAGAAAAAAAATGAACTCCCCTCTAAATATAATAACATAACTATTTTGGATGGGCTAAAATAGGACACTCGTTTCTTCAAGGCTTGGGCACTTCATGTCAAACGTTGTAAATCATTAGTAAATTCCGACCAAATCAAATTTTTAGCTGAAGAAATATTTAATGTTACTATTTCTAAAGCACATATTTGACAGAAATTTGATTTTTTTGTTGTTGACAAAAATTCTCAATGGCTGAGTTACAACCATGCCAAAACCTACTGACAATGCTTTTAACAGCGCAAGAAAATAAGATATTACACTGACGTGTGAAAAAAGTTCACAATGAAATGAACATATTTGGTAAACGGATCCATTCATTATTTGAGGTAAGGAATAATTCGACATAGCGAATACAAGAAGTCGCAGGTGATTTCTCAACATTTCTCAATCATAACAAGAGATTCTAGAACTTGACCCACATTCAAATGTTCCAGAATCAGCTCATGACACTAACCTACATAATGGTAACTCTCATAGGATGATAATGCATGAATATAGTACTATACAGTATATATAACCCGGTTATACAAATTCTATTTCTATAGGACTCCGTGCTGCTCGTATTGTCCAGTCACACGTGAGATACGGTGGCGATATATGTGAAACGTGTGATGGGTACAGCACACTCAGAACATGCATGGAGGAATTATGTAATTTACACTATGATGGTGGTAAAAGGCTATCAATTTGAAAAAAAAAAGGAAGAAAAACAACTTTGAATAATCACATTGCAACAACCTCTGACCTCTGTCAAAGCACATGCGGAACATTCTCTTCCATTCCCAGAATTCTGGAACAATCAAATGTATTTCATTATGTTCTATCCAACACCCCTTGAAATCATGGATGAACTCTTCCAGCCTCAGCTTTGGCAGATCCCATTAATGGAAGAGGGAGTGTCAGGTCACACAAATTATCCAATCAGAATCTTTGAAAAATTAACACATCCCTAGAATCTGAAATTCTCTCATGATGATTCTACGGTCTCCACAGAGAAGAGTTCTTTGTGAAGGGCAGGGAACTCTACATCAGCAGCAGTCTCTCGAAACCGATTGAGAGCACGAATATGATGGAGAGAAAATGTCCGCAATATTGGGGTTTGTGTTAACACCTTCGAAAGCAATTCATGATCGTCGTGGTGATTGGCGCCAATTTCTAATTTCAGAGCTGTCAAAATTTTTTCATGTAGTTTTTGGATATCAGTTGTGTCTTTCAAACCTGGTCGATCTGAAAAAAGGAACAAAACATATAGGATAGAAAACGTCCAACAAAACACCAGACTGACAACCAATCAGTTTAAATTGACAATAACAAACTAAAAAGAAAACTTCAGAAATGTTTCAAATTTTTCTTTTAAGAAAAAAGTAAGCGAGTATGGTTTTATGCCGCTTTAAGTAATATTCCAGCAATATTCCAGCGGGGGACACCAGAAATGGGCTTCACACATTATACCCATGTACATCTTCGGCGTGGCGAGCGAACGCTTTAACAACTAGGCTACCTGACCACCCCTTTTAAGAAAAGAGCATTAATGGGCAGACGTTGAAAATGTCAGAGAATCAGGGTAATCCATCATTTTCCAAAAAAATAAATAAATAAAACAATTGCCAGATGAAAGGACAGATTCTCAATGCATTATGGACATAACAAATATATTCCTGGTAAAAACAGTGCAAAGAAAAATGAACGAAGAGTCAACAGGAGATGACATATTCCCTGTTCTGGCGCAACTCAGCAGTTGACTTTGTCTGCTCTACCCACTGTTGGTTCATTGCCACAAGATGCGTGCAGTTCAATGAAGAAAAAATAATGCTGGTTAGTATTTTTCAACATCCCAAATCATGGCACCAGTTCCCCACCAGACTGATCCGTATAGCAAGTTTCATCTAGAAATATTCACCACTTTTGGAGTGATGCTCTGAAAATGAGCACTACCCTCATTTTCAGTATAAGTCTAACTCGTTGTCATGAAAACATAAAAAAATATTTTTAAAATAAATAAAACTCCCAAATCATCAAAAGTTCACCACTAGAGTGAGTATGGTTTTACGCCACTTTAAGCAATTTTCCAGCAATATCAAGGCGGGGGACACTAGGATATTGGTCCACTAGATGGACAGCTGACGGATTGACATGCAAATGGGGGGATAAAAACGACGAAGAATGTACAAAATTGCACCGCAAAGAATGGACTGAGTGTTTTGTTTGTGAATCAACACCGCACTCAGCAATATTCCAGCTGTACAGCAGCGGAGTGTAAACAAGTGTTTGTTGTGGAATGCTCAACTCAGCAATCTTGCAGCTATATAACAGTGGTCTGTAAAATAGTCTTTGTTGTTTAATGCAGCACCTGTTAACAATAGAATCTGGACCAGACAAACCAGTGATTCATAGTATGAACAACGATCCATCCTGGTGATACATTGAAATGCTATGCACCAAGTTACCGAGCCTGACTACCGATCCATTACGTCACCCCATACGACCAGCACAGGTGGCTGGGGACCAATTCTGACCCAGAATCGCCTGGGTGTATGAGATTTGGGTTGGCAATAATGCTCCTGTTCCCCCCCTCCCCCATACTGAAGCAGAGTGTTCCAGCTGAAGCTCACCTGAACTTATAAGAATCAGAGCACTGAGGAGAGCCAGCTCACTGTCCGTTATTTTCAAGTTTTGAATAATCTTTACAAATTCAAAGATGCTCCTCATCAGAATTGATTCTTCGTCATCTGCAACAAACAAATCATTTAAAAATACCTGACCATTGTTTAGTGGTAGGACGTTACACCAATGCATCGGAGGCAGTGATGGAGGCACTGACGCCGAGTTTGGTTGGTAAATCTCACACAACTAAAGTGAGGTTATATGGTCTAGCTAGACAACTATAAACGTAACTGACAGGGTCATTCAAGTTTTACCCGTCCACTAAAATGAATTGCCATGATACTAAAAGCTGTAGTCCACAAGGGAATGGCAACAGTCCTTGTTGTAACGAGTCTCCAACAAACAGATTAAAAAAAAATTTGAACCGTGGCAGGCAGAGCCAAGGATGTAATCTTTATTTGACTTTATCTTTAATACCAGGTTTCAAACAGAGTTCAAGTCATCAAATTTAAGGCCTTTTTAAGGCCCTTTTCAACCTATTTCCATATTTTCAAGGCCAAAGTAATCACATAAACAGAACAATAGGACAAATTGAACAATAAAGAAGAAGTGGACACATTATTCACTGAAAATTTACCAAGATGAAATATGAGTTAAATTCCATTCCATTTTTCTGAATTCTAGGCCTTTTTAAGCCCATAACCAATTAAAGAACTTTTCAAGGCACACCTACAATTCTGGGCCTTTTGAAGGCCTGTGGTGATCATGAACATGTACTTACTGAGAACTGAAAAGGCATCTAAAGGTACGTAGTTATTGCCGAATATAACACTATCGGATGCACTATCGTACACACGACACACTTGCATCAGAGCCAGCTCAAAACTCCCTGAAAACAAAAACAGAAATTCAGACATGTTCACACATTAACCACACAAAAGCCTTTATATGCACATATCCCAAAACAGTATACCCTCTATGGAAATAATTTTTGGAATCATTTTTTTATTTTCTAAGCTCTCCATATTACTTATGAGACTGGAACTAAAACTGGGCATGGTACACCATTGGTTGACAGCATGAGCAACGACCCATGTGGTTGGGGTACAATGACTCACAATCAGTCTGGTACATAAGTTGCCTCTTACGACCAGCATAGGTTGCTGGATACAAATTCTAACCCAGAATCCCCATGTTGGCTGTTAGTATATGGCCGAGCTTACTAGACGAAATAGAAATTGACTAGACACGAACTTCAGCCAATGGTTGGTTGGTTGGTTTGTTGTTAAACCCCGCACTCAGCAATATTCCAGCTATTGGGATCGATGACATGCATCAACCAAGTCAGCGAGCCTGACCACCTGATCCTGTTAGTCGCCTCTTACGACAAGCATAGTCGCCTTTTACGGCAAGCATGGGTTGCTGAAGATCTGTTCTATCCCGATCTTCACGGGTCTTCGGTCAATGGGGCTAAAAGTCAAAGACTACTCACCTGCTTTCAATAGCATGATCTGGTCGTCCTGGGACAGGTCCATGAATCCAGGCACCATCTTGGCAAACTCAATAATCTGTTGTACCGCAAGCGTGATCTTCTCTGCCATCTCGATCCACAGCTGGCGGTGAGTCTAAAACAGTGATGGTTAAAAAACTGACCATAGGTTACAGAGAGATTCCTTTCGCGACATGAACTGATCAGTGTTTTCTGACTGGATATCATTGTGGGTCGTCAAGCAAATGTTTCTGAAAAGTGAACAGTCTACACTGACTAGCCACTGATCCTTCTGTTCTACAGACAGGGTCTCGTCTACCCTGACTAGCCACTGATCCTTCTGTTCTACAGACAGGGTCTCGTCTACCCTGACTAGCCACTGATCCTTCTGTTCTACAGAGTCTCATCTACCCTGACTAGCCACTGATCCTTCTGTTCTACAGACAGGGTCTCGTCTACCCTGACTAGCCACTGATCCTTCTGTTCTACAGACAGGGTCTCGTCTACCCTGACTAGCCACTGATCCTTCTGTTCTACAGACAGGGTCTCGTCTACCCTGACTAGCCACTGATCCTTCTGTTCTACAGACAGGGTCTCGTCTACCCTGACTAGCCACTGATCCTTCTGTTCTACAGACAGGGACTCGTCTACACTGACTAGCCACTGATCCTTCTGTTCTACAGACAGGGACTCGTCTACCCTGACTAGCCACTGATCCTTCTGTTCTACAGACAGGGTCTCGTCTACCCTGACTAGCAACTGATCCTTCTGTTCTACAGACAGGGTCTCGTCTACCCTGACTAGCAACTGATCCTTCTGTTCTACAGACAGGGTCTCGTCTACCCTGACTAGCCAGTGATCCTTCTGTTCTACGGGCAGGGTCTCGTCTACACTGACTAGCCACTGATCCTTCTGTTCTACAGACAGGGTCTCGTCTACCCTGACTAGCCACTGATCCTTCTGTCTGTAGAACAGAAGGATCAGTGGCTAGTCAGTGGTCATTTTCAAAATGTATGGGGCCACACTCTGAACGATCATAAAAATACCCCATAAAAATAAGATATGCATGTTATTGATGCAGACTCCCCATCCACAGGTAAAAGTAGCAATACATAGAATGTTTTCCATGGCTTCTTTCTCAGATACGTTATGTTTTGCTGCTAACAGCGTCCAATGATATATATTTAGTCTCAACAGCTTGTTTGTGTCACCTTTAGCATGTCTCTTCAAGATTCTCCTTCCAAATTAATCATTCAGCGTTGTCATTGAATTAGATTTCACATGATTTATGCAAAGCTGCCATGTCATAGAATTTCTTGCTGAGTTAAGTTGTAACCACATGTAGTCGCGAAGTCAGGTTCATTAAAATTGTCTACCTTTCTGTCAGGTGAACCATGAAGATCCGGGGTAGAATAGGTCTTCAGCAACCCATGCTTGCCATAAAAGATGAGTATGCTTGTCATAAAAGGCGACTAACGGGATTGGGTGGTCAGACTCGCTGACGTGGTTGATACATGTCATCGATCCCAGTTGCGTGGATCGATGTACATGATGTCAATCACTGGATTGTCTGGTCCAGACTCGATTATTTACAGACCGCCTTCATATAGCTGGAATATTGCTGAGTGCGGCGGAAAACATCAAACCAACCAACCAACCAATCTGTCAGGTGCCATGCAAAACTTTCTGTTTTTTGCTAACGTTACATGTGGTTGGCGATTCTGAGATACTATTGTCACTCAAAGCAGAAACAACTTTGCCATTATTAGAAGATGGATTTGACTGTCTCGACGACGTAAAGAAATTAAAAATAGATCTATCTCTGAACATTTTTCCGACAGTCTGCTCTCGGATTTTGCTGTTCGGTCATTGTTTATTAGTTACGGTAAAGAACCAATGAAAATCGTCTATATGACTACTATATTTGTACAAATGTGTAGGCGTGATTGTGATTGGACCATTTGGGACTTTCAGACAATGAAAGGTGCAGATAGCAATATGAGACACGAAAAAGGGGAAGTTTACATTCAATAATTGAAACAGCTGAGCGAGATGTAAAATATTTTTGGAGTGAGTCAGTGGCCCCAATAATTATATCATATAAACGAAGCTAAATGAACACGTCCATTGTAAGTAGGTGAGTGAGTTTGGTTTTACACCGCTTTTAGCAATATTCCAGCAATATCACGGCGGGGGACACCAGAAATGGGCTTCACACGTCTCACTATAAACTGCCAATCAACAAAGTATTTCGGGAATCCCGCAAGGCCGCTGCCTTGGCAGATCACTGCATCTACTCACCATACTCTGGTAGGTGATCACCTGCTCTGCTGTAGCTGGTCTCTGTTTAAGGGTCTCTATTTGGTCATTGTTGTATAAACACGTCCTCATGTGGGCCTCCATCACTGCCTTGCCGAATGATACTGTAACACACACACATACACATATTACACACAAGGCCTAGGATATTGATGCTAACAGGGGTAGAATTAACAACAACTTTGTATGTAGCCAGCAGGTCTTTCGCCTTTTAAAAGTTACTGGCCCTTTTCCAAAACTAAATGGTGGAGGCTGCCTTCACTCATAGATTACATTTCAGCTTCCATTTGCCTCATTTCATGGCGATATATGAGTAAATAAAGAAGGGGCTTTTTGTTTGTTTTTTTAATATTTTTATTTCAATTCAATTCTGGGTCCATGACTAGACTGGGTACTTGCCAGGGTCCATGACCAGACTGGGTACTTGCCAGGGTCCATGACTAGACTGGGTACTTGCCAGGGTCCATGACTAGACTGGGTACTTGCCAGGGTCCATGACCAGACTGGGTACTTGCCAGGGTCCATGACTAAACTGGGTACTTGCCAGGGTCCATGACTAGACTGGGTACTTGCCAGGGTCCATGACTAGACTGGGTACCCGCAAGGGTCCATGACTAGACTGGGTACTTGCCAGGGTCCCTGACTAGACTGGGTACTTACCAGGGTCCATGACTAGACTGGGTACCCGCCAGGGTCCATGACTAGACTGGGTACTTGCCAGGGTCCATGACTAGACTGGGTACTTGCCAGGGTCCATGACCAGACTGGGTACTTGCCAGGGTCCATGACTAGACTGGGTACTTGCCAGGGTCCATGACTAGTCTGGGTACTTGCCAGGGTCCATGACTACACTGGGTACTTGCCAGGGTCCATGACTAGACTGGGTACTTGCCAGGGCCCATGACTACATTGGGTACTTGCCAGGGTCCATGACTAGACTGGGTACTTGCCAGGGTTCATGACTTGACTGGGGACTTGCCAGGGTCCATGACTAAACTGGGTTCTTGCCAGGGTCCATGACCAGACTGGGTATCCGCCAGGGTCCATGACTAGACTGGGTACTTGCCAGGGTCCATGACTAGACTGGGTACTTGCCAGGGTCCATGACTAGACTGGGTACTTGCCAGGGTCCATGACCAGACTGGGTATCCGCCAGGGTCCATGACTAGACTGGGTACTTGCCAGGGTCCATGACTAGACTGGGTACTGCCAGGGTCCATGACAAGACTGGGTACTCGCCAGGGTCCATGACTAGACTGGGTACTTGCCAGGGTCCCAGACTGGGTACCCGCCAGGGTCCATGACTAGACTGGGTACTTGCCAGGGTCCATGACTAGACTGGGTACTTGCAGAGTCCATGACTAGACTGGGTACTTGCCAGGGTCCATGACTAGACTGGGTACTTGCCAGGGTCCATGACTAGACTGGGTACTGCCAGGGTCCATGACAAGACTGGGTACTCGCCAGGGTCCATGACAAGACTGGGTACCCACCAGGGTCCATGAATTTAAGCTGAGTTACAAACAATACCGGGTACTCACCAGGGTCCATGACTAGACTGGGTACTTGCCAGGGTCCATGACTAGACTTGGTACTTGCCAGGGTCCATGACTAGACTGGGTACTGCCAGGGTCCATGACAAGACTGGGTATCCGCCAGGGTCCATGACTAGACTGGGTACTTGCCAGGGTCCATGACTAGACTGGGTACTTGCCAGGGTCCATGACTAGACTGGGTACTTGCCAGGGTCCATGACTAGACTGGGTACTTGCCAGGGTCCCAGACTGGGTACCCGCCAGGGTCCATGACTAGACTGGGTACCCGCCAGGGTCCATGAATTTAAGCTGAGTTACAAACAATACCGGGTACTCACCGGGGTCCATGAGGTCGATGGCTCGGAGCAGAGTGACTGGATGTGGGTGTGGTGGCGTGGTGGTAGTGGTGGTGGTAGTGGTTGTGGGAGTAAAGCTGCCGTTGTCTGTTGATGTGGGGAACTCCTGCTGTGCGGGCTGTGCGGGCTGTGCGGGCTGTGTGTTGGATATTGTGTATGTGTAGCCGTTGCTCTGATACCCGTACTGGGGACTCGATAACCTGCAACACAACCAACATGTCACACTAACCACCTGTCTCCGTGGTGATAAGGCTGTAACAAACCACCTGTCTACCTGGTGACGAGGCTGTAACGAACCACCTGTCTACCTGGTGACGAGGCGGTAACAAACCACCTGTCTACCTGGTGATAAGGCTGTAACGAACCACCTGTCTACCTGGTGATAAGGCTGTAACGAACCACCTGTCTACCTGGTGATAAGGATGTAACGAACCACCTGTCTACCTGGTGATAAGGCTGTAACGAACCACCTGTCTACCTGGTGATAAGGCTGAAACGAACCACCTGTCTCTAACTGTGATAAAGCTGTAACGAACCACCTGTCTACCTGGTGATAAGGATGTAACGAACCACCTGTCTCTACCTGTGATAAGGCTGTAGCGAACCACCTGTCTACCTGGTGATTAGGCTGTTATAAACCACCTGTCTACCTGGTGATAAAGCTGTAACGAACCACCTGTCTACCTGGTGATAAGGCTGTAACGAACCACCTGTCTCTACCTGGTGATAATGCTGTAACAAACCACCTGTCTGCCTGGTGATAAGGCTGTAACAAACCACCTGTCTACCTGGTGATAAGGCTGTAACAAACCACCTGTCTACCTGGTGATAAAGCTGTAACGAACCACCTGTCTCTACCTGGTTATAAGGCTGTAACAAACCACCTGTCTGCCTGGTGATAAAGCTGTAACAAACCACCTGTCTCTACCTGGTGATAATGCTGTAACGAACCACCTGTCTACCTGGTGATAAGGCTGTAACGAACCACCTGTCTACCTGGTGATAAGGCTGTAATGACGAAACATATTACACTAACCACCTGTCTACCTGGTTATAATGCTGTAACGATGTAACTAACTGTCTCTTCCTGGTGATAAGGCTGTAACGATGTAACTGTCTCTACCTGGTGATATAGCTGTAACGATGTAACTGTCTCTACCTGGTGATATAGCTGTAACGATGTAACTGTCTCTACCTGGTTATAATGCTGTAACGATGTAACTGTCTCTTCCTGGTGATAATTCTGCAACGATGTAACTGTCTCTACCTGGCGATATAGCTGTAACGATGTAACTTTCTCTACCTGGTGATAATGCTGTAACGATGTAACTGTCTCTACCTGGTGATATAGCTGTAACGATGTAACTGTCTCTACCTGGTGATAATGCTGTAACGATGTAACTGTCTCTACCTGGTGATATAGCTGTAACGATGTAACTGTCTCTACCAGGTGATAATTCTGCAACGATTAACTGTCTCTACCTGGTGATATAACTGTAACATATCACTCTAACCACACCGCACTCAGCAATATTCCAACTATATGACGGCGGTCTGTAAATAATCGAGTCTGGACCAGACAATCCAGTGATTGATATCATGAGCATCAATCCACGCAATTAGTATACGATGACATGCATAAACCAAGTCAGCGAGCCTGACCACCCAATTCAGTTTGTCGCCTCTTACAACAAGCAGAGTCGCCTCTTAACCCAAGCATGGTGGCCTTTTACAACAAGCAGAGTCGCCTCTTAAGGCAAGCATGGTGGCCTTTTACAACAAGCAGAGTCGCCTCTTAAGGCAAGTATGGTCGCCTTTTACAACAAGCAGAGTCGCCTCTTAAGGCAAGCATGGTCGCCTTTTACAACAAGCAGAGTCGCCTCTTAAGGCAAGCATGGTCGTCTTTTACAACAAGCAGAGTCGCCTCTTAAGGCAAGCATGGTCGCCTCTTACAACAAGCAGAGCCGCCTCTTAAGGCAAGCATGGTTGCCTTTTATGCCAACAGTGTAGGTCAACTGTGATGGACAAGACACTGACATCATGATAAGAAAAGTGAAAAAAAAGTACAAGTATATTCAGCAGAAATATGACATAAGCTCAAATGAATTTCAATTGAACTCAAAATAAATGCTGTGGTTCCACAATCTGGACAGGCCAGTTGGCACTACTGAAGGGAGGAACACCAACCATTAGTGGGAGTGAATGAATGTCGGTAACGCTGTTCTCGGTAACGCTGTTCTCAGCAACATTCCAGCTACATCACAGCATCCCATTCAATTCGACGGGTCAGACGATCCCGCGATTGATATCATGAGCAGCATCCCACATCATCAGGTACATTGACACAGTATCAATGAGTGAGTGTGAGTGAGTTGGGTTTAACGCCGCTTTTAACAGTATTCCAGTTACATCACGGTGTGTCAGCTTAATGTGGGAGGAAAGCCCGAAGTGATGCAGGTCTCAGACGTTTACCACTTCGGTGAAACCCACGAGCACGGGTATGGTGCTGACAAACCTAGAAACATAATCGGGGCAAACCGGGATTCGAACCCACAATCATAGGTTTCTGGCGTGCCCAAGGGATGCAACTCTGCACAGCGAATCACGGCGCCTTCGACGACTGGGCCACCCGTGCCCCCCACAGAATCAATGAAGTCACCCATCCTGCCACATACACAGAGCATATGCAGGGGGGATCCATTCTTGCCCAGAATCCTAACAGCAGTCTCTTACACCAAGTACTATGTTCTTAACCGCCGTGATATTGCTGGAATATTGCTAAAAGCGGCGTTAAACTAAACTCACTCACTCACTCACTATGTTCTTAGGGCCTATGCTAACCGTGGTCCCATGAGGCATATTCATAAGAGAATTTTAAAAATATTTTTGTAACTGTTTTGTTTGTTTGTTTGTTGTTTAACGCTGCAAACAGCAATATTCCAGCCATATGACGGCAGTCTGTAAATAATCGAGTCTGGACTAGACAATCCAGTGATTGACATCATGAGCATCAATCCACGCAATTGGGATACAATTACATGCATCAACCTAGTTAGTGAACCTGCCCACCCGAATCTGTTAGTCGCCTCTTAAGGCAAGCATGGGTTGCAGAAGACCTATTCTACCCCAGATCTTTGGGGATGATGTGCCTGATCAAAGAATCCATAAATACAAGAGTCAACAACGACATGACCTGCACTCTGATGAAGGATGTTGCAGATGAGGTGTTAATGGTGATGACAAAGCAGGTTACAACCAACCTCCCATGCTACCAGCGATCACATGATATCAAGCCATATAACTAACTACAAAGCTTTGCGTTGTACACTGTTAGTGGCTGACGTACACACATAGCGTATGATCGAGGCTCAAACAAAACCAACGTCAATACTTCACGGATTCGTATACTAAAACCATCCACATGAATATATATACATATATATGGATGTTACGCAGGTGTTCGAAATTAAAGGGGTCTTGGGATCTTGGGGTCTTCAAGATTTGCGCATTGGTTGGTTTGTTGTTTAACGCCGCACTTTGCAATATTCAAGCTATATGACGGCAGTCTGTAAATAATCGAGTCTGGACCAGACAATCCAGTGATTGATATCATGAGCATCGATCCACCTAATTGGGATCGATGACATGCATCAACCAAGTCAGCGAGCCTGACCACCCGATCCCATTAGTCGCCTTTTACGACAAGCATAGTCGCCTTTTACGGCAAGCATGGGTTGCTGGGTCTACAGAATTTGGATACGATGACCAAGTTAGTGAGTCTGACAACCCAATGCAGTTAGTCGCCTCTTACAACAAGCATGGGTTGCTAAAGGCAAATTCTAACCCAGATCTTCAAAGGGGGTTAGGTAATTAATGAAATGATGTTGAGTAAAACTCACACAAGTCCATAGATGCATGGACTTTGTAGAAAACTACCATTGCCTGATATTGAAGCAAAGTGTAGATTGGATGGCTGCAAGGCTGTGATACATATTGCACAACAAATATTGTGGATTTAATCTAAGGTGAGGTGAAATAGGGTTTAACGTCATGTTCAAGATCATAGCATTTATGTAGCGACGTGCATGCGTGTGTGGTTGTACCAGGCCGGACTAATGCCGATTTTATAGTGATAGCCCACTGAGATACAATGCCGCAGTTTAACTCAGGCACAGTATACTGACACCGAGCCGACCAGTCCTTGCTTGGGCCCCTTAAAGCCAAGTACCAGGCAGGGTTACCAGAAGTACCATCTATTAATGTCTTTAATGTCTTCTTGTATGACACAGGTGGGATCTAACCAGCGACCTTCCACTCTCCGGGCAGACGCTCAACCAAATCTGAGCATTCATTGGTCTGACAACTCACTTGTAAACCGCTTACCTTTGGTAAAAAATAGGGATTTCACTGTACGTATTCACAGGAGATGGAGGATGGTAGTGTTTACAAATGTGAAAAGTATTGAGACAATGCTCAAAATCCATGAAGTATTGAGACGATGCTAAACATCTGACAAGGATTGGGACAATGCTACAAATCTGTGAAGTATTGAGGCGATGCTACAAATTTGTGAAGTATTGAGGCGATGCTAAACATCTGTGAAGTATTGAGGCAATGCTACAAATCTGTGAAGTATTGAGGCGATGCTACAAATCGGTGAAGTATTGAGGCGATGCTACAAATCTGTGAAGTATTGAGGCGATGCTAAACATCTGTGAAGTATTGAGGCGATGCTACAAATTTGTGAAGTATTGAGGCGATGCTAAACATCTGTGAAGTATTGAGGCGATGCTACAAATCTGTGAAGTATTGAGGCGATGCTAAACATCTGTGAAGTATTGAGGCGATGCTACAAATTTGTGAAGTATTGAGGCGATGCTACAAATTTGTGAAGTATTGAGGCGATGTTAAACATCTGTGAAGTATTGAGGTGATGCTACAAATCGGTGAAGTATTGAGGCGATGCTACAAATCGGTGAAGTATTGAGGCGATGCTACAAATCGGTGAAGTATTGAGGCGATGCTACAAATCGGTGAAGTATTGAGGCGATGCTACAAATTTGTGAAGTATTGAGGCGATGCTACATATCCGTGAAGTATTGAGGCGATGCTACAAATCTGTGATGTATTGAGACGATGCTACAAATCTGTGAAGTATTGTGGAGATACTACAAATCCGTGAAGTATTGAGGCGATGCTA